ATCTATTCCTGGGGCCTTATTTTTTTTTCTATTTCCTTCAAAGCAGCTTGAACTTCTTCCTTCATCACCATAGGCTCTTGCTCATATGTGATTTCTTTAAATTCTTCTGTATCTGCTGATTCCTTTCGATACAACGACTCAGTATATTCCTTCCATCTTCTTTTAATACCTCCTAGATCATTTAATATTCTGCCGAAAGCATCCTTGATTATAGCAACTCGAGGTTTGAATTTGTTCTTCAGTTCCTTGAGCTTAAGAAATGCTGAAGGAGTTCAGCCCTTTTGATTTTCCGACTCCAGCATGAGTAAAGTGTTAACAGACATAGTCCACCTTCATTTGGTGGGAATCATTTATTAATTGAGAGTGTCCACTGTTAATAAAGGATGCCCGCGTGTTTTGTACATTTTGCCATACATTTCTGTTTCTGCTGCTTTTTCTGTGTGTTCTTTGACAGGTCCTGTATACTTGCGTGTAGGACTATGTAGGTTCCATGGTTTGTTTTTTTGTATGGTTTCCATGGACCTAAAGCAGAGATCGTACAAGTGAGTTTAGAGAGGTTCTTTCCAGAGCTGGCCAGCCTTTCAGAGGTATGCGAACTCTGTGACCACAGAACTGCAACTGTCAGTTGCACTTGAGATGTTAACAGCAGGTAGTCCAGACTAACCCAGTTCTTAAGGCGGGTGCCGGGAGGGACAACTTGGGAATCTTTCCACAAACCTCTTGAAATTACAGATAGAGCTTTATCAGAGTGAAAACTGCCTGATGGAACTGTGTTCTTCTAGAGCTTTGACTTCATTTCATTTGTTTTCTCTCTTCCCTAACCTTTTAGTTTAAGTTCCTTCCCATAAGATACTGGTAAGAGGAAACTACATATATTCTTCTTTTTTTTAATTGAGATTTTAATGAAAGTTTATAGAGAACATGGATTTCCATTCATTCATTGTTGTACGTTTTCCTCTCTGCCCACCCCCTTCCCCCAGTTTGCTTTCGTTTTCCTCTCTGCCCACCCCCTTCCCCCAGTTCGCTTTTCTATTTTAAATAAAAATTCTTTCATTGTACAATTTTCCCCTCTCCCAGTCCGCTTTACTATGCAGCTCTTATTTTGGACTGCTGTCATGCATATAACACCTAATCATATATTCCTTTTAAGCAGTTCTTTCCCTCATCTGTTTCAATGCAGTGTACATTATTTATCCCCACTTTTCTTAGTTCCCAACCCCGATATCAGTCCTGTTTTATAAGCGATACTAGGCAGTATTTGTCCTTTTGTGACTGAGATCTTTCACTCATATTTCATGAGGTCCTTGTTTCCATTGTGTGAATATACCACAGCTTCTCTATCCATTTGTTTGTTGATGGGCACTTGGGTTGTTTCTATCTCTTTAGTATTGTAAACAACACAACAATAAACATGGATGGGAATATATCTGCTTGGCTGACAGTTCTAGTTTCTTTAGGGTATATTCCCAGTAGTGGAATTGCTGGGTCAAATGGTATTTCTATTTTCAACTTTTTGAGAAATCACCATACTGCCTTCCAGAGTGGTTGCACCATTTATATATATTCTTAAAGGGACTTAAATATATGTTTTTGGGATTGTATGTTCTGTTTTGGTAGGTCTTTGTAGATTCATTCTATTGGGAAGTTACTTTTTTAGATAAGGATCAAGTTAAAAGTCTGAGAATTTCATTAAAACGGTAGATTAGGTAGGGGAGTAATTGAAATAGTTTGTGTAGGGAACACTGGATTCGCTTCTCCAAAATGCCCTGCAGTGCCCCGAGCCCATGTGACCTCCTGCTTTCTCCCTTCACGCCTCTGCCAGATGCCAGCATTGAGCCTCAGCCCAGGGCCACGTGCCTGGCCCGCTAACTCGGAATTTGTGGGGCTGGAACCCAGGTGATTGTCGTGCTGCCAGATGAAGCGAGAACCGCTGACCGGGCATGTCTACGTGTAATGACTGTGAACAGTCGGAGGCTTGAATGAGAGGAAGGAGTGTGGCTGGAAAGGGGAACAGATTTGCGAGAGATTTAGGATACAACTTGGTGATGGGTTTGGATCAAGAGATGAGGAAGAAATTGTATGTAGGCTTACCTTTTGGGTGGATAAAGGTGCTGTTTATTGAGATGACAGTGCTGGGGACAAATGGTTATGGAGAAGCAGCAGTCCAAGAAAGTGAGCTTGAAGTTGAGCATGTTGAAGTTGGCTGCAGGTTGCTCAGAGCGTGACATTCAGTTTGAAGCTTTGTGCAGCTTCAGGTGAGATACGTAGTCAGATGATACAGGTTAGAGAGTCAGCATTGTATACCTAGTAATTGCAACCATGAGAATGAATGATGTTGTTTGGAGCATAGATGTAGAATGAGAGGAACCTGTGGTCAGGGACTAAATCCTGAGAAACACTGCATAATGGATCTGTCGGGAGGTGGGGGTGAAAAAATCTGTGAAAGCATGGAGGGGTGGAGGTCTGGAAGGATGAGGGGTGGGTGGAGGTCTGGAAGGATGGAGGGGTGGTGGTCTGGAAGGATGAGGGGTGGTGGTCTGGTAGGATGAGGGGTGGGTGGAGGTCTGGAAGATGGAGGGGTGGTGGTGTGGAAGGATGAGGGGTGGGTGGAGGTCTGGCAGGATGAGGGGTGGTGGTCTGGAAGGATGAGGGGTGGGTGGAGGTCTGGAAGGATGGGGGGTGGGTGGAGGTCTGGAAGATGGAGGGGTGGTGGTATGGAAGGATGAGGGGTGGTGGTCTGGAAGGATGGAGGGGTGGTCGTCTGGAAGGATGAGGGGTGGTGGTCTGGAAAGATGAGGGGTGGTGGCCTGGAAGGATGGGAGGGGTGATGGTCTGTAGGGAGGAGGGGTGGTGGCCTGGTGAATCACGGGGTCCTGGCGCAACTACAGGTGGGACATTGTGTCCGGAAGGGGGAGGATAATGGACAGGCTCATTTGCTGCTGAAATTTCAGTCAGGAGAAGGGATGTGACTCGCTTTTCTGTGACATACTGAGACAGGGTGACCTTGTGAAAGCAGATGCCATTTTATAATTGGTTTTAGAGTGTGTAGAAATTGTTTTTAAATTTTTTTTTTTTTAATTTTTTTATTTTTGTGCGTGTACCGTCAAATCAAATCTGACCGGTACAGGAGGAGATTGCCTCTCCTTCTCCAGCAGAGCATCTGGTGGATTTGAACCACGCACCTCTGGGATTGCAGTGCAGCTTCTTGCCACTCGGCCACCAGAGCTCCCGAGGGTGTAGAAAATTTTAAAAATGGAGGTAGTAAGTGTGAATAACACATTTAAAAGTGTGCCTGAAAGATAAGACTGTAGCTTGAGAAGAGGCTGTGTTAAGGGAGGAGATTGAAGGTTCCAACAAGGAAAGCCTGTTTAAATGCCAGTAGGAGGGAGCCAGAGGTAGGAAGGTGAGTTGAAGGAAGTGAATGGGCTGTGAGGGGAGGAGAGGGAAGTGTGTGGGAAGTGACGGGTCTGTGTCCACGTGAATAAAAGTATGGGAAATACCCAAAGCCTCTCCTTCCTCCTGAGGCAGGAGGAACCAGGACAGGATGTGATTTGCTAAATCAGGATTGACAATTGCGGGGAGACAGGCAGAGGCTGGGAGCTGGCACGGGCTTGGGGGTGGGGTGGGCTTGGGGTGGTGGACTGGGCAGCACCGGCGCGGGTTGAGGTTGGCACAGGTGAATCCATTCGCTGCCCCGCCGGGTCAGGGTGTGCTGACTGATGGAATTTGCCTCGCTTGCTCTTTTCAGGGAAACAGATGGCCAAGCATCTGGAGGCAGCGACTCTGGAGACTGGATCTTCACCATCCGAGAAAAAGATCCAAAGAATCTTGAGAATGGAGCTCTTCAGCCGTCAGATTTAGGAAGTAATAAGGTACAGTAAGTTTATAGCAGCGTGCTGGAAAACACTTAGCCGAAAACAGCCGCCGGCAGCAGAATCTTTGAATCACTTCTGTGTCGAGTCGCTCTGTGAGCGAACTGGACTGTCGCCCAGAGCAGCCTGTGGGCGGACTCTGCTGTTAGGGGATTGACAGATCAGGGGGTTTCGTTCCCTCAGATTACCTGAAGAATTTGGACTCTCGGCTCTTATCTGTTGTGTAGAGCAGAATTCTGTCCAGCTCTCAGGGCCAAACTTCTTGGTACTTGTCCATACAGATGGAAGTGGAAGAGTTCACGCACTGAGTGGCTTTGTTACTCTTCCTATGGGGACCATGTCTGTGTAAAAATGGAAGAGCTCAGCTAAAGTGCCACAGTTGTTGACCCGAGTTTTATTTAAGGGCTTTAAAAGAAAATGTATTGTTTTGGCATGTATGTAAAATGGAATTTTTCCCCCTTGGTATTGTATGTTGTT